CCCCCCGAGGGGGAGGACTGGGCTGGCTCTGCGGGCTTCTGGGTGTGGAACCTCTCCTGCAGCCCACCAATAGCCCCCAATCACCAGATGGCAGCCTGCGGCAAGTGCAGCCGGTCTGATGGCCGAGTGGTGTGATGTGCCCAGTGTGGGCACTCAGGGCACTCCAAGCCAGGACTGCTTTGCAAGCGGGGAAACCCTGAGAACTGTCTGTCCGGGGTGGGGGTTGGGTCCCTTTAAGCACAGCCCTCGGCTAGCCTGAGACAGCAGCTCTATGCTTTAAGTCCTCATCTGATGCCCTGCCGGCACTGCTTCCGGCCATCCTTAACCCCGGTTCAGGGTCCACTTAATGTGGACATGCTAGTTCAAATTCGCAAAACGCTAATTCGAACTAGTACCCTGAGAACTGTCTGTCCGGGGTGGGGGTTGGGTCCCTTTAAGCACAGCCCTCGGCTAGCCTGAGACAGCAGCTCTATGCTTTAAGTCCTCATCTGATGCCCTGCCGGCACTGCTTCCGGCCATCCTTAACCCCGGTTCAGGGTCCACTTAATGTGGACATGCTAGTTCAAATTCGCAAAACGCTAATTCGAACTAGTTTTTTAGTCTGGATCCGTTAGTTCGAATTAGCTAAGTTCGAATTAAGTTAGTTCGAATTAGCGCTGAAGTGTAGATGTACCCTTAGTGGTGTCTGGCAGGCTCTGGCCACTACAGAAAGGCCACTCCTGAGAGCATGATATTTGTGGTATAATGCCACTTCAAAGGGTTTCCGCAGTAGCCCATGTGGGCTGTGTGGCGCCGGTTCACTCCAGGGCACTCCTCGGTGTGTGTGGCCGAGGCAATGCGTGGGAAGGGAATCGTGCAGGCCAAGTGCAGTGCCAGACATCGGTACTTAAGAGGAAATGTCTTTGTGCAGGTTGAGAAGACGAGACATTACCTGCTCCTGCGTGAGAAGCTGGAGACGAGCCAGAGACCAGGCTTGGAGTCCCTGTCCCCGTGCTCCAGTGAGGATTCCGACTCCCATAGCACTTCCTGTGTGTCCTCTCCGCTCTCAGCAGACGGTGCCTCGGAGGGCAGGAGCTCGCCTTTGGAGACCCCCAGCGAGAGGCAGAAGGAGCTTGCCGTCAAGGTATTGTATGGTAGCCTGAGGGCTCAGCACTGGGGAGCAGGTGGGCAGCGGGAGGGAGGCCAGAGAAGGAAGTGGCCTCATCATGGTGCGAGGAGGGTTTCAGCAGGGGCAGTGATTAGGGAAGGAAGCAGTGAGCAAGAAATATGGAAGGAGAATTAATGGAAGCTCTGAGGCAAGCAGGGGAATCCAGGAGCTAGAGGAAGCTCAGACAGAGCTGTGTGCTTCAGGACTGGCAGAAAAGGGCAGACAGGGAGCAGGCAGCAGGACTGCATTAAGAAAGGGGCCACAGGGGCTGCAGCCCATGGTCCCAGGCTAATGGGGGCTCCACAAAAAATCTCCAGGCCTTTGTTGGGCCCCCTTATCCTAGGGCCCTGGAATGCAGCCTCTAAAGCCCCTGCATTCCGGCCCTGCCTGGTGGGGAGACGGGGGGATGTGGCCCATACAGTGCCCCTCCCTGTGGGAGCTGCAAAAGCTCCATCTGCATTCTTGCCTTGCCTGCGCTGGGAATTGCCATTGGGAGCTGCAGGGGCCAGGGTCTGCAAGCGAGCTCAGGGTAGTGTGCAGAGCCACCTGCCCCTTCCTTTCTCTGAGGTTGTGCCACCAAGGGGGAGTTGCCCCAGGTAAGTGCCCCACACCCCTGGCTCTGAGCCTCCTCCCATACTCTAATTCCTGGCCAGACCCCACATCCCAACCCTCAGCCCCTTCCCATACCCCAACTCTCACCCAGACACTGTACCCCCACCTCCTGCCCTGACCCCACTCCCTAATTCCCACCCAGACCCCACACCCCAATCCCCACCTCCTGCCCTGACCCCGCTCCCTAATTCCCACCCAGACCCCACACCCCAATCCCCACCTCCTGCCCTGAGCCCCGCTCCCTAATTCCCACCCAGACCCCACACCCCAATCCCCACCTCCTGCCCTGACCCCGCTCCCTAATTCCCACCCAGACCCCACACCCCAATCCCCACCTCCTGCCCTGACCCCGCTCCCTAATTCCCACCCAGACCCCACACCCCAATCCCCACCTCCTGCCCTGACCC